TGAAAAGGTTAAGTAAAAACTCTGAATTTGAATTTGAGGTTATCAATATAAGTTAATGGGTTAGATGAAGAGAGGGAGATTATAAGAAAAGCCAGACAACATTCAATTATATACTGTCTACAACAGACATACTTTAAATATGAAGACACAGGCTGAAAGTAAATGAATATAAGGAATAAGAAATATGTATATACACAAAAATATATAATTTAAGATATAAAAAAGGTATATGATCTGACCAACAGTATCAACTACTTTGATTTATTTATACCATAACCAAGAACTACAGAATTCTTTTCAAGAGCACTTAACAAGCAACTTCCAGTCAAGATGGCAGTGTAGGTAACCTCAGTACTCGCCTCCTCCCACAACGACATCAAAATTATTATACAACTAAACTACAGAACAACCATCATTCAGAGCTGCCTGAAGTCTGGCTGAATAGAGTCCTACAACCAGGGAATTAAAGAAGCCACAATGAGACTGGGAGGAGAGGCAGAGACACAGACCAGGCTGCTCCCACACCTATGTGTGGTGGATTAAAACTGCAGAGTCCCCCCTGAGGAACAAGGGGTTCCCCCCAGCCCAACGTTCCAGTGCCAGGAAGACAAGTCCCAATAACTTCTGGCTGTGAAAACCCGCAAGGATGGGCCTACTTTTCTTTTGTTTCTTTTTTGTATTTTTTGTAATTTTTAGTGTAGGGGTCTTTCATGACATTTGTTATTCCTAATTTTTAAAAAATGTATATTGATGTATTATAATGGATTCTAAAAATTTTTATTTTCCAAATATTCACCATTAGTATGATTAATTTGTTTATTAACCCCATTGAACTAATTAGGTCTTTCATAGATTAAGATTTTCATTAAAGAATCATGCGATCTGCAAATAGAGACACTTATGCCTTGTATTTCTTTTTCTTGACAGGGTTGAATAAAAGTGGTTAGAATACCTATTTTCCTTTTTCTAGCAGTTAAAGGAAAAATGTTCAGTATTCACCACTAAATAGGTTAGCTTCAAGTTTTTCATAGCTGGCCTTTATCAGAATGAAGATGTTCTCTTTAGAACCAGCTTGTTGAGTGGTACCTGGTACAAACCATGGGTTTAAAGAAAACACTACATAAAAGATAATCCAAATTGTAGCCAACAATTTTAAGCCTGGGAAGATATTTATGAAACTAGTTCCTTTTCTTCTATTACCAAATTAGACCCATCTTAAATCCTGAGGCAGGGCATTTGCTTAGAAGTATAATCAAGAACATTGCCAAACAACGAAAAGTACAAGAAGATTCCCTCCCATGCCAGGGCTGCGCACTCGGACTCCTTTTCTTTCCCATTAATGTGCAACAGTGTAGAGGACAAGTGTTTTTTTTTTAGTAGCAACTACATTTGTACAGTGATAAGGAAAAAAAGACAAGCATGGTCAGGCTGACAAACCAGAAGAGACAGGAGTAAGTCAGGCATCCTCTATGTGGTTAAATGCATGTTGTTGGAGATACCATCCAAATTAAAAGAAAGCATAAAACTGCCATATATACTTTGCTGAGTTTGATACTGAAATATCTCATATTACATATCATAATCCAAGTCATATGCTAGTGAACTACCAGGAAGCCTATTTCAAAATATATTCGATTTAAAGTAAATACTATGATATCTCAGAATTCAATGCTTTGTTAAAAGCCTTTTTTTAAAAAGACCTCACCTAAACTTTTCTTTAAAAAGAGACCTCATCAGAGTCCTTTAACAAAAATATGTCACTACGAGGCACTGAAATATGAGGATATCATTGTTTTAAAATGGTACTATTTATAAAGTTTTGGCTGCTGTCCTTTGAAAAATAGAAAACCAGGGTCATGGATATTATCTATAGAATAGAAAGTTTTACAAAAACTCTAGTCAATGATGTAAGACTGGGTCATTTTGATATAGCCATCTTAAGAAGTCATTATAAATAGTATTTTGAGAACCCTATCAACAATGGAAACTGAAGATTGTGTTTCTAATTGTGGAGAGAGTCACTTCATTATTAACATTGTCTCTAAGCCATATTTTAAACAAATAATTATCACATTCCAAAATGGCATCGAAAGGATTCTTAACTGTGCTGCTGGAAAGAATTTTGGTTACTCTCACAGTAATATTTTTAAAAAGTCATAAGGACTTAAATATGACTTCACATCATTTCTGAGATCTTTAAAAGTGGTTTCAGTTCATTCTATAGAACTATAAACTCATTTTAAAACGAAAATAAAGGCGTCAATTAATATTCTCCCTCCCAATCTTCATCTGGCTAGCTAGCTTGGACACATCTTTTAAATCCCTGCTTCAAAATCTCTTTATCTGGAGACTTCCATATATTCTAAAACCAGGACAAGAGTCCTTATTATCTGTTCCAATAGTAAAATGTACTTTTCCTATCACTTCAGGTTTACACACTTTGTGGGGTGGGGTTTTTTTATTATTGTTCTTGTTCACTTACCCCATGCGGACTGCCAGCTCCATAAAGATACTATTTGCCATTTCAAAACTGTGTCAGTATTTAACACCTGATCTACGATAAGTAATAAAATACTTGTGAAAAATGAACTACAAGTTTTAGACTTTTCCATACAAGGGACTGTACCAATTTCCGATGTTTAAAACAGCTATTCCAGGATAATTCAAAGACTAGCATTCTAACCAACTTATAGTCAATTGAGAATTATTTTTAACTACTTAGCCTATACATGATGGAGAAGACTAGATTTGACAAAGCTCCAATGCTATGCACACAAACATGAAGTATGGTGAAACTGATTACAGGGTGTTATGTTTTTATACCATGGAGAGTTTCACTGTTTTTGTTGTCTGTTTTCCAATTGAACAAAAAAAAAGTTTTCTTCTGTAAAAATCAGTTCAAAGTTGGGGTCTCATAATTACAAAGCTTGTCTTCATAGCTTACCTGGGTACACATAAAACTCCAAAACAATAAAAAGTTAACTATTGTGGCAAACAGAAGAAGTGATTTGGGAGACAAACTCTATGTGTGGCTAATCCTACATATATTCATTATCACACAAAACAATATAAGTATCACCAGTCACTACTTAAAAGGCAGTATGCTGAGAAGTCACAAGATTTGTGAGGCAATATGTTAAAATAGTCATATTTGGAATAAAATACGCAAAAATAAACAACTTTGGGGTTAATGTATAACACCAGTCATAGACCTTTCATTTGACCATAAAAAAATGCTATTTCAGCTAAAATAAACAACATCCTTGAGCAAATATCTAGTCAGATGGAAGCCCATTTATTATTCAACTATTACATTCCCAATAGTAGTGTCTACTTGTCAAGAATGGAACCAGTAATTTAATACTGATTCCCTGTGTTTCTCATATTGTTGATCAGGGCCAGTTAATGAATCACAAACAGCATTAGTAAAAAGTGAAGTGGAATAGGATATAAAATATCAGAGTACAGCACATGTAGTAAGGAAAAGCATCGTTTCCTGAAACTTCTGGCTCAGTTTGTGTGTGTGACAATGTAAAATGCTTCTAAGTATAGGTTGCAATAAAAATGTGTGAATCTACTGTTGAGACATATGTCCCAATTATTTCCTTCCCCCAAAACTTGGAAAGTAGAAACTCCCCATCACAAATACAAAAACTAAAAGTGACATTAACTCAGGTATAGGTTGTAACAGTTTAATCCTGATTTCACAAGCTCTAAAATCAAACTGTATTTTAGTTCAAATCCAGGTTCCACTACTTGTGTGAATCTGGACTTATTTAAACAGTATGTGCTTCACTTTTGTTATCTGTACAATGAGGACAATAATATCTTTCAAGTTGTGGTAAAATTAAATAATACCTATAAGTTCTTAAATGTTTTACCATTAACAGAATAAACTAAAGGCATGACATATATTAGACACATAGCCTGAAACTTAACAGAGGGCATCTTTGGCTTATTAACTTTGGTGTTTGTGTGTGGTGCTTTGTAATTTTGTACGTTTTTGTCCTATATAAACTGTATAACGAATATAATATGCACATTTCTAATGTAATGTTTCTGATGTATATAACATAACATTTATTTTTAAATATGTCAATAGTAGCTATTAGGGTAGTGAATGTCCTTTGTTTTTGTTTGCTATTTCTGTATTTTATAAAAATATACTAAAAGTTTTTAAAAGAAAATAGTCACCTACTGGCTAAAAAGAAAAATAAAAGGACAAAGACAAAAGCATGGGGTCAACGGTTTAGGAATTAGCACTTTTTTTGGAGAATTTAGGTGCCAAATACTCCTCGCTAAATACCCACACAATCTTAGTATGTAATTTCTGCCCATGAGAAAACGGAGACAACTGAGATGATCTGAACTGTGTTAAACAACTAACAAAGAGCAGTGTCCAGAATTTCAAAGCCTGTATTTCTTCTATTATCATATAATGCATCCAAATATTCTTCTCAGGTTGTTTTAAGTAGGGATATTTTGTTCCACCTAATTAGACTATAAACTTAAGAGGAAAAGTTTCACAAACTGTAATCTTTCACTGGCTTACTAAGACTACGATAGATCCTTAAACACTTGTTGAGTTACTGTCAACTTCTTTTGTTCTAGTCCTCAGGAGACATACTTTTGTTTTAAAAACGAAATAAACTAGCAAACACATGACAAAACGAACACTGCCCGAATCTCATTATTCCTGCACGCTCGGAACTGCAAATGTTTACGTATACCCAGATACAGACACCACCACTAAAGGGATTTCGCAAAGAGTTACAAATAACACTGCAAACACCAAAAAGAATGGATTCCCACGTTCCCCTACCACGCCCCCGTCACCCATGCACTATCAATGAAAGGGACCTCTGTCTAGCCTTCCGGTGAGGTGTTAAAGAACCATAACCACGCCCCCATTTTGTTCCATCATAACTTGTTTTCTTTCCCTACCCGGACCCCCGTCCCCAACACCAAAACCCTTAAAAAGCAATTCAAAAGTATCTGACCTGCAGCGAAGTGCAGGGGGGAAGATTTCCGGCCGGCCATGTCCTTAGCATTCACGTTTGCTGCGTCCACCAGCCTCTTTACCCGGGACACGTCCCCATTGCGGCAGGCCTCCAACAGTTCCCGTAGGGCCCCGCTCACTGCTGGGACCCCCGGCCCAGGTCCCGCTGCCCCAGGCCCCACTGTTGCTGTGGTGCTAACTCCGGCCGCCTCGGGACTCTCCGCCAAGCTCGATCCAGGGGAGGACGGAGAAGAAGATGAGGAAGAAGTCGGGGAAGAAGAGGACGACGGTGAATTGTTACTGCCGCCACCGGCTGGGTTGGGAGGGACCCCGACGGCTGATGAAGCAGAGACCGCCGGGACCAAGGGAGCGGCGGCGACGGTACAGATTGTGCTGGTGGTGTTGCAACAGCTGGTACTGTCAACCGGGTCCGGGGATCGGGGCCTGTCGGGCGGATCCCGACTGCCATCCCCCTCCGGCAGCGCTAGGCCGTGCCGCGGGGAGGTAAAGGGGGCCAGGCCACTCGCCGTGGGGGAGGCTGGGGTGGTCCCCGGGGCCAGGCCGGGGCTGAGTGGTGGGGGAGGTGGTGGCGGTGGCGCCGAAGCCCCTGGGGCGGGCTGGAGCTGTTGTTGATGATGGTGGTGATGATGCTGAGAGCGACGCGACGCCGCCATCTTCGGACTCCCCCAGCACTGTCACTGCGGCAACGGCCGCTCCTCCCGCCCTCACTTCCGACTGCTGGACCAATTAGCATCCAGCACACGGGAAATGATGCTAGGTGAAGTGGGCGGGGTGAAAGAGAAGGAGGGAAGTATTGGGAGCTCGGAGAACGGCCACGGAAGGGGGCGTGGTCTTGTGGCAGAAGGGCGGGCTTTGTGACGCCTTGGCGGGCCGGCGGGGAGATTTGAAAGCTGGAACCAGTGTCTACAGAAGTGGGAAGCTTTTCTGCATTTCTCGCTTTCAGCTTGCTTACCTTGACCTGCTCCGTTTTGTTGCCGAGTTTAGTCTTCTTCATCTTGCCCCAGAGCCTGCTATTCTGATGTTACTAAATGCAAGAAGAGAATATCGTTTTTCATCTCTCAAGTATCCTCGTCTGAAAAATGGAATACCAGCTACCTCACAGAATTGTTAGCGGTATTCAATGAGCTGACATATGCAAGGCGTTGTGTCCTTTCTTAAAACATAACCATGATTAACCCATTGGTAATATTTTTCATGCAGTCTTCCCCTACACTTCCCCATTTATCCCCTTTGTCTCTATATCCCTTCTCTGTAAGTTTTCTCACTCTCTGTACTTTCTTCATATTCCTTTTTAAAATAGTGGTTCTGATTGCTACAGTTGGAATTAAAGCTCTTATTCCACTAGCTATGTAAATTTCAGCCCTCCATTGGACTATACGGTGTCTGTGGTTCCTCTTTGCAAAACCAACAGTGGAATAGATGTTAACTATTAAAATTATAATTTTTTCTGTTACCTTTTTACTTTTATTTTCACCTTAAGCTCGACTCAAATTTGTGATTATGTTCCTTTCTTTTCAAGTCTTTTTAGCTGAATCTGTCCACTCCACTCTTTTCACCTCTTTCCTCTCCCAAACTAAGATAAAATTCTCACTGCTATCCATCATTCACCTTCAGATGCCATTCTTCAGCAACTGCTTTTTCCTCTGCCTATACCTACTTTTTTTGTGTGCTATCAAAAAAGATGTGTAATGAATGGGATAATCTCATTGGGGTCTCCATTTCCTGCCTCCCATTCAGTAGTAAACTAGGCATAGTGGAAGTTTAGACAAACACCATTATTCCAGTAGAATGGACACACAGAGATCCCGTGTCTTAAGGAAAAACAAGATTTGGAAGGATCAAGTAGAAATCTACCACTGAAGGATATTAAACCAGGTGATAAATTGTTGTTTTGCATGTCTTTAATATAATACAAGGGGGAACGCAAAAAAACCCGAAATTTATTTATAAAAAATTGTGTATTTACTCTTACATGTTTAAATTTCAGTCACCTTCAAAGTACTCTCCATTTGATGCAATACACCTGTGGAGACATTTTTTCCACTGCCCAAAACAGTTTTTGAACTCATCGATTTTGATGCCTCTGTTGTTTTTTGTTTCATCTCTTCCACATCAGCAAAATGGTTCCCTTCAAGGATATTTTTCATCCAGGGAAACAAAAAAAAAAGTCACTCGGGGTGAGATCGGGTGAATAGGAAGGGCGGGGCAGAAGGGTCATGCCATTTTTCATCAAAAACTGCTGAATACTCATGTGATGTGGGCAGGTGTGCCTGTAAATCCATCGTGAAATGGGCAAATGTGTTGAAATAGTCTTCAAGAAAAATTCACTGAAGCCAAGCACAACCTCTCACAACAACGCCACCTGGTACACTGATACAGATGGATTCCCAGAACGCTCAACTAGTGGAGGAAGACTGTACTACAGGAAACTCACCCTCCAGAAGATAATTCCAGTTTTTTTGGGTCCCCCCTCATAAGTGTGATGCTAATATTCCCATCTAAATAAATTGGTAAGTTTATTTAAGACTACCATCTAAATATAACAAGGTGAGGAACATAATATTACGAGTGATACTTATTGTCATCTAATACAGGTTTACAGATTATAACTAACATTATCCATCTGTTTCATAGATTTGTGTCATTGTTCATAAATTGACAAATGTGTGGCTGGATAGGAAAACTCCATCAGTGCAACTAAAATCTTTCCACAACACACATTCTCCTGGTTTTGAATCTTAAATCAATGTACAGCACAGGGTAGCATTAAAGAGTGGGGATGAATTAACATGATACCTTAGATGTTTTTAACTCACCTTGGGGAGGCATAGGAATATCTCGTCTGATCCCTTGTTAGCCAATTACTCATAGATTGCAAGAAGTAATAATGTTCACCCTGATTTAAAATGCACCTGCTGTGACTGTTTACCCATGTAAAATAAGAAAATTTCTGCTGCAAAGAGATAAAAAGTCTGAATTGCCTGAAACTACTAGTAAACAGTCTGAAAATGCAGTCCATCAATGAGGAATTGCTTTTTTCCCCTCCAGCAGAAGGTAGTAAAAGTACTTAACATTAAGTATTTATAAGGTTTAGGTTTACATGGACTAATATTGAGCTCTAAACACAAAGTGCAGATATCATTACCTAACCTTTTACAGCTAAACGCAATTCCATGGGGAATGCATGATACCCTAGTGAGGAAAGCAAAGCATGGAGTCAAACCTGGGCTGGAATCACATCTCTGAAGATTACTATTTGGCTAATCTTGGTAGATATGCTTCAGCTCTGTCATCCCAAAATTCTGATCTTATTGTAGCCTGTCATGAAGATTAAAAGACCTAGGTGTTTTATAAGCCCTCCTCGAGTGTTAGTTTCATTCTCTTACATGGGATGGTGTTAATAGTAACTCATAGCCGCTATTGATAGCTATCTCCTCCCAACTTCCTTTATGAAAAAGATAGTGATGGGGAATAACTATGCACCATTTTAAATGTAACAGGAATTCTTAAGAAAGATCAGGTTTAATAATTTTCTCATCTGAAAATTTAAGATTATATGCAGTCTCTAATATCTCCAAGAATTGCAATAGTATCTTATTTTCAAAAATGTTTTCAGAAAAATCACATCCAAGTTGTTTAAAACATCGCACTCTCCTAAGTCATATTGTTGACGCAGAGGAGCACCAGTTCAAAGGGAGCTGCCACCTGGACTGTGTTGTGATGTTTGTTTTTCCCTAAGAGGATTATATGGACGCAGTTTGTAAGTTATACAATCATAATTTGTGCAGTTTTCATATTTCATTTACACTTGGCACGGTTATTTCATCCATGTACTTTTCCTTAGTCTGCTCCAGATCCAAGTTCACTGGTAGTATGTCGGATCTATTAAGTCCACCAAGCCATGGTGAATGATGATGCCAACATCTGCCTTTGTGTTGAAGGACACCACATACTGGCCATGGGGAAGCTCTTACCCCTGGTAAAGTCTGGAGCAAAGACCTCTGCAAGCAGAGACCACCAGACCTACAGGCTGGGAATAAGTGGCAGCCAAACAGTGAGAGGCACTAGGTCAATACCTGATCGCGTGGTGCCGTATCTTCCACCCGCTGTCTCCTTTTGCTTGTTTGTGATGGTTTGGCTTGTTGAAGGAAATAAATGACTGAAAACTGTTTAAGCAGTGTTTTGTGCAATTTTTCTTAACGTTGCCTACTCCTTCATATCTTGTCTTTGTTTTGCTGTTGTTGCTCAGAATTAAACATTGAATAATCCAGGAGAAGTCATTTAACCTCTCTGTAAAATCTTCTGCAAGGTGGGGATATTAAGAGTCATTATGAGACATAAATTATATATGTCAAGTGCTTAGAACAGCTCCTGGTACATGATAAATGCTATGTAAATGTCAGCTGTTATTATTCTTAAGAACTGGGGAAGACCCCTAGTATGGTATGTTAAAGGTTACCTGGGAAACATATTCACTAAAAGAACTGTAATGGGGTTAACAATGTCTTACCTTAGGGGCAGATCGACTTTCTACCCTCGGGTGATAATTTAGTCCACAGAAACCTTGATTGCCTTTCTCTTCCATAAGACATCACACTGGCCCATGACGATGATAGTAAGCTGATTGGACCTAGTGCACAAGAATTAAAAACTACTGTAGACTTATTAATTAATGAGACATTTGCATGTCAGAGGGGAGGAAATAAATCCAACAAAAATTCAGGGGACTTGCATGTCAGTGAAATTTCTAGGTGCCCCGTGGTTTGGGGCATGTCAAGTCTCCCTTCTAAAGTGAAGGATGAAGTATTGCATCTGGTCCCTTTTACAATCAAAAAGAGGCATAATGCCTAGTGGGTTTCTTTGGGTTTTGGAGGGGACATCTCCTAACAGTGTATGTGACTCTGGTCTCTTTACTGAGTGACCAAAAAAGGTGCTGAATTTGAATTGGGTCCAGAAGAAGAAAAGGCTCTGCATCAAGTCCAGGGTGCTGTGAAAGGTGCTTTGCTACCTGGGCTTAATATCCAGCAGATGCAATGGTGCTTAAAGAGTCGTGGCAGATAGGGATGCTCTTTAAAGCCATTGGCAGGCCTGCCTCTGTGAATCACAGCACAGACCCTTATGATTTTGGAGCTGTGTCCTATCATCCTTTGTGGATAATTACTCTCCTCTTGAGAAATTTACATGCTATTGGGTCTTGGTAGAGACTGAATGCATATGCATGGCTCACCAAGTTATCATGTAACATGAACTGCCCATCATGGGTTGGGTGTTATCTGACCCACGAAGCCATAAAGTTGCATGTGCACAACATACTCCCTGATCAAATGAAAGTCGTATATATGAGATGGGCCTTGAGCAGGCCCTGAAAGCACAAGTTACATGAAGAACTTAGCGTTACACTACGACCTAAGTGTCCATGGCTCTCATTCCTACACATTATTCTCTCCCAGCCCACAGTTATGGCCTAGATCAGTTGGTTGAGGCAGAGAAGGCACAATATGCAGGCACCACCTGAAATTGTACAGCTATAGCACTATAGCCTCTTTCTGGGACATCCCTGAAGGACAGTATTAAAGGGAAATCCTCCCAATAAACAGAACTTTGAACTATGTACTAGATTGTTCATTTTGTTTGGAAGAAAAAAATAGCTCCATGTGCAATTATTACCAGTTCAT